AGAGATAAATAATATATATAGAAAGAGAAAGGGAAAAAAAAAAAAAAAAATATATATATATATATATATATATATATATATATTGCTACATAAAGGAAGTAGGGAAGATTTCTGTGTCCTCCTGACATACTCCCATCCAGCTCTCCGCCCCCTCAAATAAACCAAATTGATTCTTCAAATAGGCAGTTTATAATAAAAGGACTAACCTGAAAAAAATGCCCATAAAGGAACTATGTTCAAAAAAGAAGTCTTAAAGGGTCAACAGTAATATGTTGGAGCTGAGCCTGAGATTCTTGCTCTAAGCTACTTAGTTCACTGATAAAAGCCCATGTAGTTCTAGATTAGTAGTAGCCAAATCAAACACATATCTTTTTCTGACAAAAATATCTCTAATTAAGCCTACCAGATTCCTGGATTAATATTTTAAAAAATGTGAGTTTACCATAAAAAAATGACCAGGCATAAAGGAAGCAAGCCACCATGAGTGAGAAATTAGGAGAAATAAATAATATTTAGCACTCTCAAGAAAATCAGATATTAAAGTGTATTAGTTGTGAAATATAGAATATCTATTTATAAAATATTTTAAAGAAATAGGGATAGAATTATAATGGTGAGCAAGCAACAGAGACTATCAGGAATGAGCAGGTAGATGTGAAAAATAATCAAATGAAGCTTTTAGACATCAAACATTATTTGTTGAAATGGAAACACTCAGTGGATGGATTGAATGGAAGATTAGACACAGATAATTTGTAATCTGTAAACTATCTAAGAAGATTATCCAGAATGAGCAGAGAATGATAAGAATATAAAAAATATGAAATAAATGTCAAACAATTATAGAAGTTAGATTTAAAAGATCTGATATATAAACAATCAGATTTCAAGGAGAGATTTTAAGAAATAAGAATATTTCAAAAGTTGAATGCTTAGAATTTTCCAGAATTTAGAAAAGACATGAATGCACAGACTCAAAAAGTACAAAGTATCACAAGGAGGATAAATTTAAAAAGCTATTCTCGGACCTGTCATAAAATTCAAAACATCAAAAAAAAAGAGATCTTTAAAGCAGCCAGAGAGAAAAAAAAGACAACCTACAATGAAACAATTAGACTAAAAGCAGAAATTTTACTAGCAACAATGGAAACCAGACAACAGTAAAACAATGAGTGAAATTCTAGGATAGTAAATTTCATTATAATGAGAGTTTTGATCAATTATTATTGGTAATTAATCACCAATTAATCATTAATGATTGGCTGCCTTCTGTCTAGCCCTCATTTCAAATTGGATGGGATAAACTTTTACCTTCTGAATGGATGGATTAGAGGACGTGGAGGAAAGGGTAAGGCTGGGTGAGGGAAAAGTAAGCACCCTATATCAGGAAACAGGGTATTGCCAGTATTTTTCCAGCTCTATCTCTTTTGATTAGACTGACTAAATGGGCCCCAGCGTAACAGTAGATTACTATAAAGGTTGCCACTGTTCTGGAAGGTCTAGCCAGTGAGATAGGATCCAGAATTGGCACCAGCTGACATTTATTTTGAAGCAGACAGCCACAACCAAGTGGTGCCAAACCACAGTCAGGATGAGCAAAGATTTTAATTATAGAATCACACCACTAGAACTTCTAGCCAATCAGCTAGACACACTCAAATGACTCATTTCTTTAATGTTCACAAGAAGCCCACTTTTCTCTTTACACAGTTGAAATTTTTCATCTTAATTAATCTTATAATGAGGGGATTTAATTATATCTTCAAAGTGATTAAAGAAAATAATTTCAGTCTAGAATTGTACACTCATTCACTCACTAATACTTTGTTGCAAGGGTGAGGGTGAAATAAAGATAACTTCAGATACATACAACCTACAAGATCTACCACCCACATACTCATGCAAAAGGAACTTCTAAAAGATGTACTTCAGGAAGAAATAAAATAATACCAGAGGAACACTGAGATGCCAGAAGAATGGTAAACATGGCTCAGACCAGGTGGCTCAGTTGGCTGGAGCATTGTCCCATGAACCAGAAGGCTGTGGATTCAATTCCCAGTCAGGGCACACACATGGGACATGGGTTTGATCCCTGACTGGGGTGTGGACAGGGGCAGCAGATCGATGTTTCTTTCTCACATCAGTGTTTCTCTCTCTCCTTCTTTCTCTAAAAAAAATAATAATAGTAGTAGTAGTAATAATAATAATAAATCCTCAGGTGAAGCCAAAAAAAAAGGTAAGGGAGGGGGGAGGAGGGAGGAATCAGTGGGTGAAAAAGGGGAAACATCTGTAACAAAAATAAATTAATTAAAAAAAAAAGATAAGCATGTATATAGGCCTAAATAAATCATTTCTCTAAAATTCCTACTAATGATAATGTCTACTTTGTGAAGTTAAAAAAAAAGGATTGGATTAATATCAAACTGGATATAGAAGAGAATTTATTCAATCTGATAAACATCATCTCAGAAAACCTACACCTAATAAATTTAATGATAAAAAAAATCAAATGCTTTCCCCCTAATATGAGAAAAAAGACAGGGATTCCTACTCTCACCACTCCTCTTCATAATCATACTGAAGAACTGAAGATTTCATCCTGTGTACTAGGTATTCAATCGATCTTGGAAAGGAGGAAATAAAATGGTCTCTATTTGCAGATGACATAATTGCTTATTTGGAAAATTCCAAAGAATCTACCAAAAAAAAAAAAAAAAAAGTTCATGGGACTATTTAGTGAGTTTAGCAAAAAAAAAAAAAAAATTCAATATACAAAAATTAATTGTAGTTCTATGTACAAGCAATGAACAACTGGAAATTAAAATTTTTTGTTTGTTTGTTTCATCCTCACCTGAGGACACTTTTTCCATTTTGATGTTCAGATAGAGTGGAAGGGGGAGAGAGAGAGAGAGAAAAAAACACCGATGTGAAAGGGACACATCGAGTGGCTGCCACCCGCATGACCCAAACAGGGCCTGGACAAACTGCAACCAAGGTACGTGCCCTTAGCGGAAACCGAACCCAGGTCTCTCAGGACCACAGGCCAGCGCTCTAACTGCTGAGCCAAACCGGCCAGGGCACGGAAATTAAAATTTTAAATGCAGCTGGGCCAGTGTGGCTCCTGGAGGTCACCAGTTTGATTCCCCATCAGGGCACATACCCAAGTTGTGGGCCCGATTCCCAGTGTGGGGCATGCAGGAGGCGGCCAATGTTCTCTTTCTCATCGATGTTTCTATCTCTCTCTCCCTCTCCCTTCATCTCTCTCTAAAATCAATAAAGAAAAAAAAATTTTTTTAATGCATTATTGTTTACAACAGCACCAAAAGAACATAAAATGCTTAAGCATAAATGTACCAAAATATGTGCAAAATCTATATGCTGAAAACTGCAAAACATTGATGAAAGACACAAAAAAGATCAAATAAATGGAAAGATATGCTACGTTCGTGGATTAGGAGACTATATTGTGAAGATGTCAGTTTCCTCCAATCAACATCCTAGCAGGATTTCTTTTTTTAAATTGACAAGCTGATTCTAAAATTTATATGGAATGACAAAAGAACTAAGCTAGCCAAAACAATTTTGAGAAAGAAGACCAGTGTTGCAGAACTCACAATATTTAATTTTAAGACTGTAATAATCAAGACAGTGTAGTACTGACAAAAAAATGTAGACATATGGATCAATGAAAGAGAAGAGTCAAGAAGTAAACCCACCCATTTTTAAAAATGTGCAAAGACGTTCTATGGAGCCAAAGGATAGGCTTTTAAACAAATATTGCTGGAACAATTATAAATCTATATAAAAAAAATTAACCTTGATCCATACTTCACAACATATAAAACCCAATTTGTCAGTGTCTTATAAAACTAGACATATAGTTACCACACAACAAGCTATGTGACTACCGAAAACAAATGAAAACATGTCGAACACAAAAGGCTATATAATATATGATTCTATTAATATTAAATTCTGCAGAAGGCAAACCACAGCGACTGAAAGCAGATAGTTGCCTAGAACTGGAGGAGAAAGGAAGGCCTTGACTAGTAAAGGGCCATGAGGAACTTTTAATTGTTGGAAATGTTCCATGTCTTGATTGTGGTGGTGGACACATGACCATATCTAAACACCAACACTCATTAAACTATACATTTAAAATAGGTGAGTTTCATTGTAAGTTATTTCTCACTAAAACAGGAAAAATAGCCCTGGCCGGTTTGGCTCAGCGGTTAGAGCATCCGCCTGCGGTCCGGAGAGACCCGGGTTCGGTTCCTGCTAAGGGCATGTACCTCGGTTGCAGTTTGTCCCCTGCCCTGGTTGGTCGTGTGGGTGGCAGCCACTCGATGTGTCCCTTTCACATCGATGTTTCCCTCTCTCTCTCTTCCTCTCTCTCCCTCCCACTCTATCTGTGCAAAAAATGGAAAAATGTCCTCGGGGAAGGATTAAAAAAAAAAAAAAACTGAGGAAAAATAAATTGGTAAAAATACCCCTAAAAACTCCTTATATTTAGTTTGACTTGCTTGAGTCACTTTCCATCTAAGAGTCACAAAGGTCCACCCTCTCCGTGCAGCCTGTTCTTTCGTGCCACTGTGTTGGTTGCGCAGCACTTCCTACGAGATCTCTACTATTTCCTCCAGAACTTACCTCCATGCTTCTGACACCCCTGCTGCGAGTTTGATGTAACGTTCCAGCAGTGATGATCACATTGCGTCTGCCACTTATGCAAGTGTGACTCTAAATGCCTCCTGACTTCAGATATTATAAAATGTGAACAAAAAATAAGGATATCTTAGTATTGAAATGTGGTAGAAGAAAATAAGGATTAAATACTAGTGAAATAAAACCTTTTATTTTGATGCCGTAATCTATCTCCAAAAATGAATTGGGGGTTGTCAATTTTACCTGATATAAATATAATTAACTAGCTTGGATTTTTTTTTTAAATTCATTTCCCTGGTCTATCTTTTCCCCATCTCTTTACTTTTGGAGATCAGCCCTGCTTTGACAATTCAAGGGCTCTAAAGAGGCAGTATCAGTGTTCAGCAGAGTCCACAATGCCTGGTGGGAGGGAGGTGGATACCTCACAGAGCAGCAGCAGTACCTTTAAGGTAAGATTTGTTTGTAAGTACCAGAGAGACAGCTCTAGGGACTCCCAGAAATATTTGAAGGACACTGCAGAAGAGGGTAATGTCCTCTGCAAGCAGATATTGCGAAAGCAAGCAACATCTGAGTATTAATGTAAGAATGATTCCTATCTCTGACGCCAACTGACATAACTCAGGATAAAAATGTGTGAAGTATAGAAATGTGTTCAAAAGCCAGGAAAGATACCACTAAAAGGTTACCCTTGGTTATCTCAAGTGATTTTAAAAATCTGTACATTCTAATTCACTATAAGGAATACATATTACTTTTGTAATGCTTAAAATGCTAAAAATAAAATGAAACAAATATGAGGCTACCCATCTAAAATACATTGGAAAAATTAAGTACCAAGGCAGACAGAGAAAAGGCCTTTGGATTTGGCAAGAAAGAAGTTCCTGCTGGCCTCAGAAAGGATATTTATTGTAGAGAAGAAGAATTAGAAGCCATGTTACAAGGGAATGAGTGGAAGTCAATTACTACAACAATATGTTTGAGGAATTTGTTGCCAAATTATGGTTGCATATTTCTTTTGAATCAGTCCTTATCCAAAAATCTGAGGCTGAGACCTGACCAACCAAATTGCCTCATGTTGGTTTCTTTATGTGTCACTTTAAATTTCTACCACATTATCTCTTTTTGTTAGATTTTGTATTCAGTAAGTCATTTAAAATGACAATTTTAATCATGGTCAAAATTTTCTTTTAATAATTATTTTATTCCTTTCACATTAATGTAACCTTAAACGAAGCTGTTATTCACAACCCAGAAAGCTGTCAATTGTAATTTCAAAAGTGCTTCTTTATTAGAGTACTGGTATGACTTTATATTTCTCCCAATAGTTTTTTTTTTTATTTATTTTTTCTTTATTGATTTTTTTAGAGAGAGGGGAAGTGAGAGGGAGAGAGAGATAGAAATATCAATGAGAGAGAACATCGATTGGCCACCTCCTGCATGGCCCCCACTGGGGATCAGGCCCACAACTTGGACATGTGTCCTGACCAGGAATCAAACTGGTAACCTTTTGGTGCATGGTCGATGCCAAACCACTGAGCCACACCAGTCGGACTCCTCCAATAGTCTTTTTGTTTGTTTGGTTTTTTGTTTATTTTTAATCCTCACCCGAGGACATTTTTGCATTCATCTTTAGATAGAGCGGGAGGGAGAAATGGAGGAAGAGAGAGAGAGAAACATTGATGTGAGAGAGACACATCGACTGGCTGCCACCCACACAACCCCAACCCAGGCTGGGGTCAAACTGCAACCGAGATATGTACCCTTAGTAGGAACCAAACCCAGATCTCTCTGGTCTGTGGGCTGACACTCTAACCACTGAGCAAAACCAGCCAGGGCTCCTCCAATAGTTTTATAGAGCTATCAGAAATTAAGTAATAATTGTTATTTTCATTTTTTTACCTCCGTTGCAGTTTGTCCCCGGCCCATGGCCCTGGATGGGTCGTGCAGGTGGCAGCCACTCAATATATCCCTTTCACGTTGATGTTTCTCTCTCTCTCTCTCTCTCTTCCTTTCTCTCCCTCCCGCTCTATCTGAACAAAAAATGGAAAAATGTTCTCAAGTAAGGATAAAAAAAAAAAAAACTACTGTTATTAAAATATGGGTTATCTCTTCATATTTTTTTTGTAGATGCTTAAGTAAAACCCACCTCTTTATTGAAATGACTTGATTTAGAATTATTATCAGAAAAAAATTTTAGGTTTTACGAAACAGATTAGTCCAATGCTATAGAAAAGTCAACTCCCTGTAAGAGTCATGCTGAATACATAAAATGAATACTTAAGAAAAAAAATTCCATCTCATTGTTGTCCCTAAACATGTTTATACAGGGATGATTTCTGGATGTTCTTTTTCCTCAGCTGATTGACAATTGGCAGCAAAGAGCAAGACACATTCACACCCCTTATTCTTTGCTATGTATTTTTCAGCAGCTGTTCCCTACCTTCAAACATTGAGTAATTAATGTCAGACGAGGTTAGGCAAGAATGTGTTAAATCCTTCCTGAACAAAAGCAGGGTGTTAGCTGTAATTATTCAAAATCTCCTATCTATGCCAATGTTTATGAGCAATAATTATTAGATCTGGTTGCAAAGCTGCACCATACTTTGATCTGTCATCCCCCAAATGACAAAGGTCTCCTCAAGTCCTGCCTTGATAATACCAATTTGCTGGTGTTTTTCAGATAATACTTGTCCACCTGATAAATGACTAAAAGAATCGGTTGTGAGTCAAGTTATGGATGACATCTCTCACAGTGCTTTTCTTGAATAAGGAAGTACTCCATGATAACAATGCCTTTGATTACTTCTGTAAATGGAAACTGCAAATTCAAAACTAGTTTTCCATAACTGAATTCTACAACTATTTGAACATTTTAATATAAATTTGTATAAAATGCAGAATCTCAGGCAACACCCCAGACCTACTGAATTAGAATCTGCATTTTAACAAGGTCCTCAGGAGATATGTACACATGTTAAATTTGAGAAGCACTGCTCTGGACTTCTTAGGATTGTAAGGAACATTCTCACAATATTTCAGTTAATGAGAATCTATTGTTGATATACAGATGGCAGGTCATTAGAAGAAAAGGAAGTAGTCTCAATAGTCATACAGCCAGGCAATGGAGTACTGGGGTATCATTACGGAAACAACATAATTCTAGCAATCTGCTTACTTCATTACCAGTAATAGTAGGCTTTCATTGCTCCCAATTCTAGTGCTCTGCTGCTCAGTTACTACCTTTATTGCTACAGTTCCTGTCTGTCAATAACAATGAAATAGCTCTTTCACAGCAGGTATCTCATTCAAACTCTCTATAGAAGTCTCTGTTGGAATTGGCCAGTTATTGGGCACAAGGGCACAGCTCTTAGCCAAAGCTCTCATGATAGACTCACTCACCTGCTTGCCAGGTCGTTTGCTACCTTTGGGTCTAATCAACTATAGTTACTATATTGAGATCCTATAAACCCAAGCATGGCCACCTATGCTTAAGCGCTGCTTCTGGTCTGTTTGTTCAGAATGGGGCAGTAAGCAGGTCAGATACCCAAATATAATGCCCTATATCAGAGGCATCCACATATTTGTTCATTAGTTTAACATAAGAATAGGGAAGAACTTACTTTAGGTGGTTTAGATAATGAGTTGAGTTGGAGAGAAAATGATTCAAAGATAATTTACAAGTGTATTTTTCAAGCACTCTTTTTTTTTTTTTTAAATTTTATTTTGAGAGAGAGGAAGGGGGAGATGGAAACATCGAAGAGAGAGAACATCAATCGGCTGCCTTCCGTATGACTCCCATTTGGTACTTGGCCCACATCCTGGGCATGTGCCCTGACCAAGGATTGAACCAGCAACCCTTGGTGCATGGGTGAACGCTCAACCACTGAGCTACAAGGGCTGGGCATGAGCACTCTTATGTAGTATGAAGTTAAGAAACAGAGCTGAATATTTAGAAACTGACTGAATATCTTATTTCAAAGTTTGGGTGGAGTAACTACAATTTTCCTGCATGAAAAGCTTTTTTATTTTATTTTTTTATTTTAAAGCAATATATTTCTCTTTTTTTTGCATTTTAATGACTTTATTTTGAAGTTATTTTACTTTTATATTGCATACTTTTATTTATTTTATTTTATTTTTAATTATTTATTTATTACAGATATTTCACCTTTTGTACCCCATTGGCACCCCCCTCCCCACTCCACCCCCGCCCCGTCTCCGGCTTAGTTGTCCATGTCCATTGGTCATGCATACATGAATATAAGTTCTGTGGTTTATCTCTTCCCACCCCCCCACCCCCTCTTCTGAGGGATGTCAGTCTGTGCCCTACTTCCATGTTTCTGGGCCTACCGTACTCCTCAGACTGTTATGTTCATTATATTCCATATATAAGTGAGATCATGTGGTATTTGTCTTTTTCTGCTTGGCTTATTTCACTTAGGATAATACTTTCCAGGTTCCTCCATGTCGTCTCAAAGGATAAGAGATCTTTCTTTCTTACCGCTGCATAGTACTCCATTGTGTATATGTACCACCACTTTTTTATCCATTCGTCTACTGATGGACACTTGGGCTGTTTCCAGATCTTAGCTATTGTAAATAGTGCTGTATGAATATGGGGGTACATATATTCTTCCTGATTGGTGTTTGAGGCTTCTTAGGGTATATTCCTAGAAGCGCGATCACTGGATCAAATGGAAGTTCAATTTTTAATTTTTTGAGGTAACACCATATTGTTTTCCATAGTGGCTGCACCAGTCTGCATTCCCACCAGCAGTGTATTAGAGTCCCCTTTTCTCCATACCCTCGCCAACACTTTTTGTTTGATGATTTGTTGATGGCAGCCATTCTGACAGGTGTGAGGTGATATCTCATTGTTGTTTTAATTAGCATCTCTCTGATGATTAGTGATGTTGAGCATTCTTCATATGTCTCTTGGCCATTTGTATGTCCTGTTTGGAGAGGTGTCTATTCAGCTCCTCTGCCCATTTTTTAATTGGTTTTTTTGTCTTCCTTTTGTTGAGTTGTATGAGCACTCTATATATATTGGAAATTAACCCCTTATCTGATACATCATTGGCAATGATGTTCTCCCATACAGTGGGTTGCCTTTCCATTTTGATGATTGTTTCTTTTGCTGTGCAGAAGCTTTTCAGTTTCATGCAGTCCCATGTGTTAATTTTCTCTTGTGTTACTGTTGCCTTAGGTGATGTATCAGTAAAAATTCTGCTGCGTATGATGTCCGAAATTTTGTTGCCTACATTTTCTTCCAGAATTTTTATGGATTCACGGGTCACATTTAAGTCTTTTATCCATTTTGAGTTTATTTTTGTGTATGGTGTAAGTTGATGGTCTAGTTTCTTTTTTTTTTTTTTTTGCATGTAGCTGTCCAATTTTCCCAACACCATTTATTAAAGAGGCTGTCTTTACTCCACTGTATGCTCTTGCC